AGTAAAATATGATTATGAAAGGAAAATATCTACTAATTAACTAAACATTATAAATTATAATTTAGTCAGAGTCTGAGGTCGATGCGTCTGATTCTTAATGCTAAGATTTTCTAAATTATGTAAATTGGTTGATTCATTCGGAGGTTTTAGCAAATTTTGAACTTCTGTAGAAACTGAAAACATTGTTTTTTGAGGTATCTGTCCAAGACTTGCAATTGCATTTGTAAGGAGGACACTTTAAATCAATATTTTTAGCCTCCTTGTTTCAACCCCCTAGGAGGAGTAAATGTCACCCTTAGAATATTAAATGGGAAGGGGGGTCAAGTGGCACATCGTTTTAAAAGGCGTTCAATTCTCTTTGCAATAGTTATTACTTTGTTGGTTTTTGTCCAGAGGATTCCGGATAATCGCGTTCAGAAGTTGTAGAAACAATTAAACTTGCGTGCATTCAGATATTGGTTTTCAGGTTAGTAGTGGTTACACAAAAACACTATATTTTAATTGTTTTATATTGTTAATATCCCAGTGTGCGCTGGTTGCCATCGATTAATAAACTTGTTTTTTTAAGCCAAACTTAAACACCCTGTATATGTATCATATTGCTTTTGTTGAAAACAATTTTAACTAGATATTATTTTTTACAAACTTCTTTTACAAACTTCTTTTTGGGGTATTTTGCCTCAAAAATTTTTTTTTTGGGTATTTACATTATTTTTATTATCTGTAATAAAAGACGTGAGGAAATTCTGTCTTTTTTAAAGACAAAAATTTTTGAGGCGAAATACCCAAAAAGAAGTTTGTAAAAAATGAATCCGCTTCAACAATATAGAACTTATCTACAACTTAGATATTATTTGCTTGAAAAAGGTAAAAGCAATCGAATAAAACAAATGAAATAAACCATGAGTAAAAAATATAGGCAACTTAGAACGTTGCGTATCTATATGATCTTAAATTAAATCGACACATAATGGCAATCTTCCAATCTATTTAATATCTGTCCCAAACAGTCCAAATCTCGACCATGCTACCGAAACAAATAAAATCAGTTCCTCGATTTCAGTTCTAAAATCGAGCTAAGTAGAAAAGAACATCGCTCTGGTGTTTTTACGATCAGGACAGAACAGCTCACATGCATACAGCGCGAATTTGTGGGAAAGTATGAATAGTGATACTACAGCTATTGTAGCTCTGACTCAAGGAAAAGTAGGACAAAGCTGTATATTAGAGGGTACTCAAGGAAGAGGTTGTCAGTCAATGACAAGAATAAAGGAAAACAAAACATTTTGTTCGTACAAGATATTTTGTTTGAACAAAACATATTGTTCGACGCGCGGTAAGAATTATTTCAATATTTCATTTTGATTGGCAAATTAATTTTCAAATTAGTATCAATATATGCGTGTTTAAAAGAGATAATAGAATCCCTGTTATTCATAGGAGAATGTACTGCCTATTAAAAAGTATTTTAAAAGTTTCTACCAATTACTCCCGGATGGCTTACGTGAAACAAGAATCACGTTCGCCTAACCGTGTGAATTTTTTATATTAGTGGAGTTATCGACCTGATCTGCGCTCAGTTTTCAGCTTCGCTTTCGCCATCGAAAACAGTGGCGAAAAAACGTACTTTCCACCAGAGGATCAAGAAAAACATATTTAGCACGCCCATATTTCACAAAGAAAACGCCGACAGTTTATCCAGATTTAGTTTTTATGCTGGTCCAAGTAAGATCGTATGTATCAATTATCAAGGTTTTTCAGAAATTCAAACTCTTAAAAGTCCCTAGACTTGGCGTAAAGAAGTTGTTTCAGGGCTAAATTTCATTTTGGTCGCCGTTTCAGCGTCAGGGGAGTTTAAATTTTCAAAGACCTGAAAGGCTGGTTGTTTCTGGAAACCGGTTTTTTGCTACAAGTTTGGCGGCGAACCAAGATTTGTTACCCCAAAATTTATTTTTAGCAATAACACTCAATGGTTTAAAAAAATTTACAATTTCAATTTTTTTTTTTTTTTAATTTTGGAAATTTTTTTTAATCGCAAATTTTCAAATTTTTCACTTAAGACTCCAATTTACATCAAAATGCCACATTTAATTAACACGGTTTCTGTATATAATTCCAAAGAAAATAGAATTTTGAGCTAGAGACTTAAACTGCCTTAAACTTAAACATTGTTTGCACATTTATTTGCCCATAACTCCGCAACTGTTGGCAATATTTCAATAAGAAAAAATGCCCTGGATTGCCACGGGTATTCGCTGGAGTTCAGCTGTCTTCGAAAAAACTTCGACATTGGCAACAGTTTAGGAGATAATGAACCCTGAATGTTGGCAAACGTTCTACTGTTCCTTTTGCGCATACTTCCACTCTTTCTCCCGTAACTTTCTTAAGTGTGAAGCTATTTCAAAAGTTACAAAACCTCCAAAAAGTCCAAAGAAGTATCTGCAAAAACGGTTCCAGCCTCAAATCGTATAGGGGCAACCGTAAAAGAGTAAAACGACATGGAACACAGTGTGCAACCTTGTGAAAAAAAATCTTGGAGAAATTTACATTAGTTGAAAAATTTCATATTCATGAAGACTTTAATACTGAATAAACGATTTTACAGGCAAAATTTTTTCGGTCAAAAAATTTGCATTGCATTTAAGGCCGAGTATCCGAATTTTTGTAAGAATATAAATTTTTGCATTCAGATGCTCCTTTTATTTAATTGTGATTAAAAGTGTCTTTCTTTGGGTGTACATAATAAATAAAGTAATATATAATATTTAACATAAAGGCAATAAATACTGCTAAATACGCAGTTTCACCTTAATTTTAACCGATTGTAACAGTATTAAATATGTAAATCCAATCAAACGAGAGTCCTTCCTTCACTCCTTAAATATGTAAGCCTAAATGCCTCAAAAGAGGATCATCTCTAAACTCAATCGCATAATTTTATTTGTTAGAATGGGCCGTTAGCGCTAAAGTACCTTTCTTTCATCACCATACAGAAATAAGTGCGCTATAATTTCGAAAAAGTCGATATATACGTTATATAAAATAAACAAATCTGCACATGCTAGTAGCGCAAATGCTATCAAATAAAAATTAGAACCCTGGTTGTCATCTACTTACACAAAATGAAATGCTGTACGGATACAGATCGTCGAAAATTCCCTAAAACCCCGATTTTTCCTCAAAAAACTCATTCAGTGGCTGTTAGTCTGCTTAAAATGATCTGGGCCACCTACCGCCTGAAGGGCGCTAGACGACCCTTCCTGACCGCTGAAATTCCCTAGCACCAAACGTTTGAAAACAATATTTTATTTGGAGTGTAAAATTTGGCAAAAACAGGCCAATGTCTAAATAAGTAGTCCAGCGATCACTTCACAAAAACAAGTATAGTTCACAACAGAAAGTGAATAGTTTAACATTTCAAAAGAGTATTCTGTAGAGAACCTCATTCGTTAACGTATAATATTTGAGTTTAAATTAAGGAGAATCGGAAAAGTTGCAGAATAATCCAGAACGTCCCTCGCCGTTCCTTGTCGAATTAATATGGCATGCAGCAATATGTTAAAATACAAGTCAATTTAATGGGACTAAAAGCTGTACATCTACATGGCAACCAGCGGCAAAGTAATGCCAAACTTACCGAAAACTGCATCGTGCCACCTGAAAAGAAAGAAAAACATTCTTTAGTATAACAGAAACTTAGTCAAAAGTTTAATTACTTGAAATGAACAGATAAAAAATGTCATCAGCTTCAGTTGCTTCTCGAAAAACTAAACTCAGCTTAAACTATAGATTAGAATTCATTCTTACCAGCTTTCTGCAAACTGGCTCTCATCATCCATTTTCTACCCATAAATCCTTTATGGCACCTAATCATACTGTATATGTCGTCTATGAACAAAGGACTTGACGACTTATTTTGTTCACTTCCCGTACCAAACTAATATATATTTATTTAGTATATAGTCACCTTTGCCAAAACAACTCGACGAGGCAATTGTTTGCTTCATCGTCCCTTTGGATGAGTCATTTGCAGTTCGATTTCCGTTTTTTTATTGTTGACTGAATTGTAGAAAGTGCCTGTTCGCATGCAAAAATTTTCAATCGCAAGTTTCTGGTCAAACTAGTTTGGATGGCCGCCGTGATCAAAACCGGTTTCCAAGCCAAATAATTAATTAAATGCTCTCGGACTTTTGTTTGATTTTTATGAAACTTTGAGTCTTTTCAACTGGATATGTGTCGAGCTATAGTTAGATCCACATTCAATGCTCCGACAAAATATGAAACATTCTTTTCACACGAGCTCTCTATAGCATTTTGCTCAATTTTGATGAAACTCAGTCATAAAGGCAATTTTTATGAAACAGCTCGATGATGATGAAAAGTGATATAAAGAGAATATTCACATTGAATCTGCACGCCTCATTAAGAGCGGTGGAATCAGTCGCTTTATTTTTTAACCCGTTCTTGAATCAGCTTTTTGTCGATTTTTTTAGAGAGTATCTAATACTAAACCAGATAGTGTAATTAGCTCCGCTATTATGGATCGTGTCAAGTTTAAGTTAACGAATAAAACTACTGTTCACATTCTATTGAAAAACCGACGTTGTACCATTTTGTTATTTAGCGGCAAAAACAAGAAATTTGATTCACCCTGCATCATACAGAACCGATTTCTCAATACAGCGTAAATAAACATGATCTTCGCTACGGCAAACTTTTCAAGTTTTTTTCTAATCCAAAATCCGAATACCGCAGTAAAAAACACCATAGAACATTAAATGGAATGGGTGATATTCAAACATTAATGCCCATGGCCAGCGATAGATAAGCCAGGGAAAATGTGGTCGTAAACATCCATTAATGGATAAGCAGAGAAAGTACGGGTTACTATGTAGAACCCTTCCACGAAACATTGTCCCCCCGGTTGGGTCCATTAAAAAATCAGGCAGCTGAATTGAATAGAAGGAATCAATTTAAGGAAAATAAAAGCTTTAAATCACAAACATTATATATTTATTGTGTATGACGTGTTAGCACAACAATAATAAAATAAGAAATTATAAATTGTTTCAAAAATGAAAACAACATGCATATAAAAATAAAAAAATTAAGTTAAACTAATTCACAATATATAGTGTTTACCACCACAATAGCATCGTGTTTTTAAGAACCACAAAAGTTAGTAAATTAAGTTCGGATTTAGATTTTAATATAATATAAAAAACATTCTGCTGATTACACTCAGATTATTTAATAGTCATAATATATTTTAATTCTGCAAGTTCGTAAAATTATGTTAGTTAGGTATTTACCATTTTTTTCGCTGCAATGCAATACAATCATTTTAAAAGTAAAAAACCAAATTTAGCAAAAAGTCTTGAGTTTCATGTGAAGACAATCTTTTTTATTTGTGCTTTACCTTTATATTTATACTTATACTCTACCAGTTACAATATTTTTAATGAAACCCAGCATCGGCAAAATTAAAACAAAAACAAAATGATATAGAATATTCCCCGTTATTTCTGATCAGTAAAAATTTTAAATTTCTTTAGACTTCACGGCATACATCGTTCTGAAAAATTTGGCTTTGGTTAGTAAAGTATATAGCGTTATATATGTAAGAGAGAGGCACGCAACTATGTGATACTTTTTTAGTATTGTCTCATATATTTTGCTGCATAGCATTATTCTTCTGGTTGTAGATCCAACCACACGTTATAGGGTTGAGTCAGATTCAACTTGCTCAAATCGATTATCACCTGAAATCAAATTGGAATAGTCTCATCAAATTTGTATCAAATTGAAACCGAATGAAAATGTAACAACTAAGTGATTTCGAAATAATATTTATTGTTTTTAATTTAAAACTTAATTAGTTTGGTGAATTTTAGTTTCAACTGTTCACGGTCAGTGTATCAAACTTAATACAAAAAATATATGCAGTGAGTTGAAAGTAGACTTCAAGGGGATGAGTGAAAATAAACCCCTAGGCAAAAATATACAGGACAGTTAAAAGTTGGGGTAATTGCTTTAGAAGTTCAAATATAAAATCAAATATATTGTTGTACAATTTATTATTTAGTCCATGGGAATATCGCAAATTTTAGTTGTAATTATAATGTTTACACTTTTCTGTGTAGCTCATACATACTCCAATAACAACATTTCCAGAGTGTTTTCTGAGAACCATAGTTAAATAACCAAAATATAAAATCAAGGTTCATTCTAAAGGTTCTCCTATACCAAGGCGAGAGATTCGAAGTCGGGGCAAATTTTTCGCGGTGGTAAAGTTTCGCTCCGCCTCCAAGCGCAAAATACTAATTTAATCGTATGCAGACAAACCGATGCGTTTTAGCGTTAGAGCGAGGATCGTTCATGCTGAGTTTGTAATTTAATCAGTAAAGGTATTGGCATATTAATTTAATCTCCATTAGGGAACAACCATTGAATTCCATATGGGGCGTTTAGAAGCGAATATTGGGAGCAAAAACTGTCCCTATTACGAATTGGCGTTGGATTCGGGAATCCTTAATCGAACGTGTATACATTACGACATAATGTTGTTGGCATTGTTTTAGAAAGATGAAATGAGTTTGTTCCTGCCTCAAATCTAGAGCAGATGTTAAACCAAACTTAAAACGCTTTAATCTGGTGCAAGATGCTCCTGTTCATCTGTATATGAACTATTAATCAATAATGACTTACTTGACCTAATACATTGCTGCTAAATAGTTGCTTCTGGGTGCCAACGGTAATTTCTAGCTGTTTACTTCCCAGTTCTGCTTGGTTCAATATGAATTCAAAAGTTTCATCAAATACTGGGTTACAGTTGTCTTTAATGATCTAAAATATAACAGTCACAACATAAAAAATAAGGTTTACTGCAAATAAAGTTCCAGGGCGTTAAAATGTCGCTTAGTTTCTTAAAAAATTCGTTTGTAATGATGTTCAAAGTAAATTCAAATTTGTTATTGAATTTTTTTACTTTAGTTGTGTAAACCAGATTTGTGCATCATTCATGAAATCAAATAGGATCCAAGGATAAATTAGAACATGGCAAAATTTTCTACAAAAACTTTTTATAACAGATTGTAGTCTATTTTCTTTTAGCATCGTTTTATGTCCCACTATTTTCTAGGAATCGCTAGAATAAAAATATTTACCTGCGTTTTTCGTTTGCTATCCTTTGCTCTTTCAGGAAGCAAGTAGAGTTTGACATACGGATCCGGGATGTGCGACGGATCTTTCAGAGGAATGTTCCTAAGTTAAAGCAAAATAGGCATTGCATCCATATAAAACAGAATAAAGTTCTATTCATGTCTAGTGAGTCAAAGCTTTTTAAAGTTCACGCTAAAGCCTATAGTGGCACTTAATGCCCTTATAGAAATTTGGTGATTTTTCAGAACACCTGCACGAGAATTTTCGTCATTGCAACTGAGCTGTACAGTCATCAACTGTTTAGGCACATTCTGCACATCGAGGAACATACACCCTATAACTATGATGTTAAACTAGTAAAGCGCAAAATGTTTAATAATTTTGATATTTAACATTCCTTTCTACAGATTAAATTAAATTTTAAAAGGCGCACTTGTATAATTAAACTTACTAAAAGCGAAGTCGAAATAATTGAAAATCAAAAAATTCAATATAGCCAACCGGTAAGGTTAGCTATTGGTCAAGACATCGGAAAAATAATGAAATATCCGAACCATTTAAGCAAACCACATTCGACTCAATAAATGTTACTATTGGTTCTTTCGAGTAACTAATAGTTACTTTATCAACGTCTCTTGTTTAGTTTGATTATTCTGAATCTGGACCTGGTTTATCCTTTAGTTCAACTTTTGCTCTTAAATGTTATCAGTTGTAGAGTAGTGGACGCATACTTTGAACACCTTTGTGACAGATATTATCTGATAAAACAAAAATGTTACAAAAACATGAAGTTAGTTGGATGTGTGATTGGACGGTATTTTTAATCAGGTTTCATTTTTATTAATTATAGGACGTGGCTTTTGATAAAATACAGTTAATTAATTGCGCATTTTCTTGTAAAATTACTGCATCCTTACTCTGTACAGCATGTTAAAAAAGATGCCATCAACAGTCTAAACGAAACTGTAGTTATACTTACGCCACTTTATGAACAACCACAATCAGCCTCTGTCTCTGCACACTGTAACGTAAAGTTAATTGGATTCTCCCTAGTCCCGCTTCACCAGCTGACCTGCACATTCAGTAAATATATTTTTATGAGGAAAAATTAAAATGAGATAATTCATCAAAGAATTGAGAGTATGATGGAAAATTCTGGAAATAAAACATTGCATTAAAAAGAGCTTCTTTTAGTACTTTGCTGTATACAGATTTTTGGATCGGAAGTGTGTGGAAGCGGACCGCGCTCGTATAAGTAAGCTATTTTCAATTTTATTCAGTCACTTACGATGTCTGGCTTGGAACTCGGCGAATTAGCTGTTCTCCAGAGCCTACCGAAGCTGAAGTTAAAGATTCGTTTGCAGAATTGTGAATTATCTCTTCAACGGAAGCATCCACTGATTCTATCAGTGAAGAACGCTGATTTTCAACTGGAACCGCTTCAGTTTGATTTAAATCTAAAAAAAAATATAAAGGTTAGTGTTGGCAAAAAATTGCTTTAGATTCATCATGGTACATGATATATCGCTATACCTGAGGATGTAGACACACTTGAATCGGTCCTTGCAAATACTGATGGCTGATCACTTTGCATTTCTTCGTTTTGTAGACTTTTAAAAATCTAAGATGAAAAGAAAGCATAAGGTCTTCTTAGCTGTTAATTTTCTTTTCAAACAAGGTTTAAAATACGTACGTTGATTAACTTGATTAGAATGAGATTATGTACGATATTGTCTCACGGTACCACAATCTCAATATAATGGAAATAGACTAATTGTGTGTTAGGTCTCTAGAAAAACTTAGATATCTAGGCTGGTTGCAAGAAATTAATTACAAAAAGCTTCAAAATGAATAGCTTTTTACCCGATCGACCAAACAGAAAACGCAATGGAAATCGTGCTAGATAATGATTGATTAATATGATGTTTAAGGCAATATTTCAACTATTATGTACCATGGACACGCAAATCGCAATTTTAAATCAAATAAAATTATGAATATCAACTCACTCTTAAATGCATCGATAGAACAATTTTACTTTCGGGCCCAGATTTCAGTAGAGTAAACGGTTCCTTGATAACCTGCAAGTTGCTCTTATCCGAAAGACTTTTTATTTTGAAAACAAATTGCCCAATATCCGAATTTGTCTTCTTGTCGATGACATTCAGATAAAATGAGTCGTTTTCCGGATTAGCAACTAAAAATGTATATCCTTCTTCCCACACTGGGTGAATTGTTCTCATTTTATGTGTAGTTTCTTTTGTAGTTGCACCCACTCGTAGTGTTACATAGGGATCGGGTTTAGTGGACGATCTTGCTTGCTAAACACGAATTGCAATAAATTAGGCATTATTCAGAGGTAATATTTGAATTTTACTCACAGGCAGATATTTTGCCGAATCTACGAAGACTGTTAACAACGCGGTAGTTAAGGTTGACACTTGGAGCATTTGGGTCTCAGATAAAACCTAAAAGAAATGTCGATTTTAACGCAGTATTATCGGTATTTTACACAATAGTCGCAAATACCTACCGTTTTCAAATCATTGTAGTCCTTACTAAGAGTAAGCCAAGTAAAACGCAAATGTACCATACCATGTTTAGCTTGTTCCAAAGTCACCCACTGGAAAAAAATGTAATACTTTCAAGTGCATATTTTTCAAAGAATGTTGGCAAACTTACAGAATTTAGGGATCCTTTCTCTACGATGTTGGATATTTCAACTGTAGCTCTAAAACAATGTGTTCAACGCTTCTTCAAAATTGAAACTCCAAATAACATTTTCTATTATATTTTAAATACAAGTAACTATAAGACAAATTAAATTTAATCTAACTAAATGGAATAGATAGATATAGAAGAATCATTTAATTGAATATGTAGATGAAACATGATCAATGTTCAAAGGAATCCTCTTGATAAACTTAGTAAACTAGTACTCATATAAGACACCTCATAAAAGTTGCGGGTAAATTACAAAAATAATTGAATGAATATTAATCAGTTATTTTCATAGTGTGCTAAAATTGTATTACACGTAGCTTCAACCGATTGGCGTTAAATCGTGAAACGAGAAATCCAAATGTGAAACACATCAAAAATCATGCAAAGTGAACAATTTTCAATATGAGTTGATGAATAACTGTTACTTACCTTCCCAAGCTCTCATCATCTCCAGTATCATCCTTATCCCACAAATGGATATACAGTTGTTGTCCATTAGATTCCAATATATTAAACTAGTGTTAAAGTTGCAAAAAAACAATTAGTACAAAAGTAATATGATACTTTAATTAACGAAGTTTACAATGAACCATTGGCATCAGTATACAGATTTTGCGAAATGGTATGTTTATGATTTGTAATCGTTTTATTTATTTAAAAGTTTTTCGTCCTTATTCAATTGAAAATATAATTTCAATTTAATAAGGATAATGAATAAGGGGGATATTGGGCAAGTGATGTTCCTTGCTGAAAATTACAGTTCATGCAATTTTAAACTTCCTTAATACGAGGGTTGTTTCCCTGTTTGTTTATAAGTCAGTGACTTTTTCAATGAAAGAATTTTTTTTGGCCAAAAAACGTTTTCTTTCTTAACATGATCGCCTTTTAGCTCGATACACTTAGTACAGCGCCATTCCAATTTTTTAACCCTTCCAAATAATATAATTTCTCGAGGTTCTCAAAATATGCGTTTGTTTCAAGGATGGCCTCTTCATTGAACCCAAATCTCTTATCGCCCAGCCATTTCTTCAGGTTTGGAAACAGGCAATAGTCACAGGGAGCTAAATCTGAATAAGATGCTGGGTGGGGTAGCAGTTCGTAGCATAATTCATGGATGGCTTTTTAAAATTCAAATATTCATGTAAAATGAGATTGTACCCTCTCAGTTCAGACGCCCTCAGCCTCAGCCACCTCACGCACTTTCTTTGATGGTTTTTTACGTAAAAAAAATGCTTGATCAGCATTAGAAATTCACAATTTTCATTTTCGTCGAAATTAACGAAGTCATCTCCTTTCAATGACTGTTAAACACTAACTAATTAAAAACGAGAACTAAGTTACTGCGCAGGAAATTCAAAAAGTAACTGACTTATCAAACGACCCTCGCATATAGGCCTGAAAATTTTTTTTATCTGATCTGCAGGTTGCTAAAAGTGAAGTCAGGAAGCAAATTTCAAATTCAAATGTTCAAACAGAGCTAACAACAATACATGTTTCATAGAAAAACTGTTCTTTCTGCAAATAAATGATTTTTCAAGTTTCCGGTTAAATTGAAAGAGAAAAAGTTTCCTGACTTTTTGGCAGGGCACTATTTTGGAGTTAAAATTCAATTAATGTTTTGCATGGGATCATTGAATATCTATTAAAAACGTATATTTAGTTTATGTTAAAAAAATATACAGTAGATTGCATATAACTAAAATTAAATATATGTCCAATAACATCCACTTTTCGAAAGTAAACCTAGCTGAGAATGGAGTCCTGAAATTTCAATCTAAAGAAAGCCAACTTACCTCGCACCAAAAGTCCCACTTTGGATCTACAGTATTATCAATCACTTTAGTTTTGAAGCTTTGTGCCCCAACAGTAACAACTGCATAAGGATCCGATTTACCCTTGCCTAGTACACTAATATCTTTCTTCATTAAGTGTTTGGCTTCCACTACATGGACCCGAAGCACGCCCTTGAATTGAAGAAAATAATAAGATAAATATGCTAAAATACTTACAAAAACAGCGATTTGAAATTTACCTCTGGTTCTGGATTCTTCAAATCGATAGCTTCTACTTCTTCACTGAGTTTTATGGGAAACTTATTTGGTAAAACCATAAGATTTGATACGGTCTCGATCACAATACGTCTCAGTATATCACTAAAAATAACAGCCAAATTACGGCATTGGTAATCATAAATCTAAGGTAGGCGCTATTATTTCTTTTCTTTTAAAGACTTACCTTAGCCCTGGCATATCAAGTACGTCTGCTACACCCAGCAAATTAAAGTCAATATCTGGGTTATTCAGAAAGAATACTTGCAAACCGCCAATCAAAGGCACTGAGCTAATTAAAGGCTTCATGACTACCCGAAGCATTCCATGCAGCTATACAACGAAAAATATACAATTTTAAAATATATTTATTACGATATATAGTATTGTAAACAAATAATATGCAACAAAGTTTAATAAATGTAAATCATGAAATATCGGCACCCACCTGAAAATCTCTTATACCTCCTTTCAATCCAGATAAGTGGAACGTTATATCGCAATCACCAGCATAACTACAAATAAATTATCTTAATTCCTTTAAAAATCTAGGAAACTGTCAAAAGAAAACTCACAAAATATCTAGGTCCATCACAATTTCATTTCTATCGATATTTTTATCATACACCTTCACTCCGCCTATTCTAAAAGGCTAAAGAATTTTTCCGATTATTTTAAAGCTTATGTGCAAAGAAAAAGGTTTTGAGCAAACGCATTTCAGAATCAAGCGGTGCTTACCACTGTTCCCAAAATAATTCGTTCAAATTTGAATCCAAAAAGTTTGAATTTCTCCAAATTTTCCTTGAGGGCAGGTTGTATAGAATCTCGAACGATTTGCTTCACATAAAGGTTGACAGAGGGCCATAATTGGTTCATTATCTGCAAAAGTTTTATAAAAATGTGTAATGATATACAATATTCATCAGTATCCAATACTTACTCTATTCAGCCACTCTGCCCTTTCAATATCTGGAAAGAATACCTAAAATAATTTAAAAAAATTATTTATTTAACTAATTTTATTAATATTATAACACTAAATTTATCTGGGTAATGTATTTATATGTTATACAGGGTGTCCCGTATGCACATGATCAAAAGCATACTGCGATATTATTTGCATCAAAAGAAGACGATCTGACCTAACTTTTATTAACAAAAAATGTCTGATTCCTCTGCTATTGATGGTCAAAGTTCTTCAAAAAACTTATCTTTTTTGAAATTTTGAGAATGGTACGATGTCTTTTAGTGAAACTCCCTGTGAACTTGTTCTTATGTAAGACTCATATGTTGCTAAAACAATCGAGTTCGTCCATTTTGGACAAGTGGTGAATTCTTGAGTGTCGTGGTACAAAAACTATCAGAACTTTTTATTTGGTGGATGAAAACAGCTCATTTTTTTTGTTGATGCACTAATCATTTATTCACAATTTTGTGTTCTTAGTAAAATCTTAGTAAAAAAGTAAAAAAAAAAAAAGTGGCATCAATTTGTTTGCGCAAAAACTATGAATGCTACAAGATTTTACAAATAGCACAAAATTGTGAATACATATATGATTAGTGTATCAACCAAAAAAAATGAGTTGATTGACCACTTATTCGAAACGGCTAGACTCGATTCTTTCATCAACATATGAGACTTGCATAAGAACAAATTCACAGCGAGTTTCACCAAAATACTAAATATAGAGAAATTTTTTGAAGAACTTTGACCATCAATAGCAGGGGAGCCAGACATTTTTTGTTAATAAAAGTTAGGTCAGATCGTCTTCCTTTGATGCAAAGAATATCGCAGTATCTTTTTGATTATGTGCTTACGGGACACCCTGTATATTTAACAAAACCAGAAATATCAGAGTGAGTATGTAAATTTCAAATAAATAACACAAAGTTAACATTTTTCTTCTTTTGACTGCCTTCTTCTGCACTGCAGTTGTTTTCTTATGAACCACCGTTTACTCATGTTTATAAGCCACGATTATCTTCGCTTTTGCGGCGACTGATACCAATCAGTATTTTTCGAGGTACCTCGAGATATGGTCGAAGTTTTCCAGGCTACATTGTTTTAGATTCCACTACTTATAGTTTACATTATTACAATCTTCTCAGTACTTCTTCGTTAGTTATTTGGTGTGTTCATGAAATGGAGTAATAGTTCAAATTATTTTATTTTTTAAATCTACTGAGACTGACCGATTTATCGTACAGTAAAGCTGAAACAATGTAGAATTAAAAAATGCGCAACTTTATTGGTAATTTCAAGCGCCTACAGCATAATACGGCATTTCTGGGGCCAAAGATCCAAGAGTTTCTTCTGAAGCGTCGTCAAAATTTCTATAGTATCCCAGTCCTGGTTAATGTTGCATCCAAGAAAAAATGTTATTATCGTGTAGTCCAAGCTGTTGTGTGCTGTTCATAGCGATAATCCTACATTTTGTTTTGTTAATGTTTATAACTGGCCTAATCCGTGAACAGTACCTACTGTTCCGATGCTTCCATTTTACAAACCGCGGATTTTTCGAAACGCTTGGCGCTTCGGAATAATACTACCCAATGGGCCAATTTTATAGATTTTTTTAAAACTCTGTTATAAAAATATTTTATATTTCACTATAAAACCATACTAAATCCATTTAAGACTATTAACTCTCATGGCACTTATTAGCTAGAATTGTTGACTCTTTCTGACATTGTTTCTGACTGAGAACCTTCTAACCCTCTCTGCCATGCATTATATTTATAGTTAAAAGTTGCTGATGTTTGCAGAAATGCTTATATTAAAACCACTGGCTAATAATTTTAGAAACCATGTTTACAAGTTCTTGGAAACCTAAAGATGTTCGCTCGTAAAACAGTGTCACCAGCATTCCTAATATTGTTTATAATTTTATAGTTGATTTTGGCCCCTTATTGGAATGTGCAACTGCTTTTTTGAAAATTTGCTCTCCGAGTAAAACTATACTTGCGATAAAAGGCATAATGCTCTGGATCTGGCTTACTTTTAGGTCTAATATTTCTGCCAAGTGACCCAGTTCCAAGTTCTGAGAGCCCATTAACTGCCGAACCTCACATAGGGTTAAGTAACCAACAGGTATCAAGCGCTCTAAATGACTCGGCTCTTAGAGGCACCACACAGATGTGGAGAAAGACGGAAGGGGCCATGGATAGATAAAATTTATTAAACATTCACATTGTCAGAAAGTCACAAACAAAGTAACAACATGTTCAGATATTCGGCCGGTTGCTCCCTTTGCCCATGATCCAAATTACCTGGGCAGTGCCCTAAGATAGACATTCTCAAGCTAGCCATACGCACGACGTCAGGAGATAATCTTATTCTCAAGGTCTAGATCTTTATTCGATGGGCGATTCCAAAAAGGAAAAAAGGTCTTCCTGAAAGGAAGCCAAAAAACCGCTGGCACCTTCTCTCTCGACGGTGCAAAGACTAGCCAGCACCGACCAGAGCAAGGCAGCACGAATCCGACCAGTCACTTAGTGTTGAATTTTTCACCAATCACGAGGTGTTGGTTTGTCGTCACGTTTTGTTAGGGGGCAAAATAAGGGGCCTCATAAAATATGGGAAGTCGCTTATACAGGGGACCATGAGTCATTGCATGGCAATCATTTGCTCTAACTTGTGTGCGGTTTCGCGTAAAGACAGAGCCTTGATAGAATTTGAAATGCGCGAATAGAAATCGTTTATGTTTTCCACTCAAACCGTCGAAACATGGCTCAAAAGGCTAACATTTCTAAAGTGGCTCAAAATTTTAGAGATTCGGTTTTTTCGTATTCGGCGAATTTCACGTGGCCCATGCGATTCTGACGATTAAGAAATTCAACAGCCAGCAGAGATAACATCGTCCGCAGTTATTATAAATAATCCATCTATGACTTTCTTTCGATTCCTTAGGTATATTCCCATCACTAAACAGTTCTCCAATGTACTTTGACCTGCTGCCTTAAACATTATTATCTATATAACTTTTTGTGTTCGTTAAAATGTCATGTTTTCTATGTAGATTTTCCAATCAATTGCATTTATCGGTAATCAATTTTACTTTGCCCGAGAAAACCTTTAATCTTATTTTATCCTGGATTTCCCAATCTTCAGTTTTAGTCAATTTTTCTCTCTCCATCCTGTCATCAATATAATTTATTGTATCATCCATTTCTTTACTTGTTACTTCCGGATTTGGGTCAAGATGTCGAGCTGAAAATGCTCTAAAACGTCTGAAATCGGCTAAATATATAACATTTCTGAAGCTTAGAAATCACCCTGCGTGTAATATTTTCGTTTCGTAAACCAATCTATTAAAAACAAGTTTATTTCCTAACCAAATGGAAATGACGAGCTGTCAATGCTCTAAAACATCGGAAATCACTTAATTACTACGTTTCGGAAGCTCAGAAAACAACTTCGGTTTTTGTTGTCCAGAAAACCCATATTTTAGTTTCGTAAACCAATCTGTTAAAAACAAGTTTATTTCCTAGACGAAAGGAAATGACGAATATCTTTGGTGATCTTGCTCCAATTTTAAGCAGAAGTATTGCATGTAGCCCACTTTTTATCACATTGGCCGGCTTTTATCTTATTTGAGTGTGTTGATCAAGTTCAGGATCATTATTTTCACGTTTTAACTTAAATTTTGCCGACAGGAGATTGTGTTCGGAAAAGATGTCTGCTGCTAGCTACCTTTTTACTGTTGTAATGCTATTTCTTCATTTGTGACAAAATAATATGAAATTTTGTGCCCTCTGGATATTTCACGCATATAAAAGTCTATAGGAAATTTGAAAGAATATGTTAGTAGAGATAAAGATATTTTCCTTACAAAATTCCCCCTAAAGTGTCTCTCTTCTCATTTCATTAGTTTTTCACCAAGTTTTAGCAGGAATTAATTCTAATTAATTAGTTAGTGTTAACGTAAGTAGCAATTTTTTTCTTAGCTACTATTCCAACGCCATATGCACGGCTGCAATCTTTGAATGTCCTTCTAGGGTCTGTCGTGTGATCTATGTGCATATTTCTGATGTTGCACGTGAGAGTTTATTTTAATTCCTTCCGTGGCATGCTGAGAACAGATTTTCCTTTTTGTTACGAATTTATTCAATTCCAAAGTTCATATTAAGCAGGGACCAATCTGGTACCAATGTCGGTAAGTAGCCGGTAGACGTAAAATACAGTTGATAGAATCAAGATATTTCAAGCAAGCGCTTTGAAAATGAAATGAACAGAAAGCTAAATTTGATGACATTATATGAATTTGTATCTAGTATATGGACACACAAGACTAATATTTGCAAAGTTTTCAGCAAATGGTGGCTCGTCTTGTGTGGTAAAAGTTTGCATCGAACTTCAACATTCCGTCTAATACTGTCATAAAACATATGGGTTTACTTTGCATTCCTAAGTAAACTGAGATTCAAGCCTAGCATATGGAAATGTTTGTTTGAAACTTATGCAAGATTAAGTTAATCCTAACGTTCAAAGAATGTAGAATAAGATATGCAGTACTGATCTATTTTATTAGGATCTAGCTTTTTGGGTATATGCCTGAAAGTGAGTGAGACTTTGTTGGGCGTTCAAATATCACACGAAACAAAATAACTTGAAACTGAAAATAGCAAGAGAAACATTTGCCTTAAAATGTATCATATAAGAAAAAAGTAAAAAACGAGAAAGCCCGTCTGATCACCCAATGCTTGTTATGATAAATGTATGGGAAAACAATTCTTTGTTGCAGGCACAACAATCAATACGACATAAAAAAAATTTTTATAAATAGATCAAACAATCCTTACAAATCAGCGTTAATAACACTGCAATTGAACACTGTTTTCGGTTTTGTATATGCAGACTATTATCACATAAAAACATTAACATATGCAGAATTGAGGATCCATTAATATTTACACTGTAAGTTGTATCTGTGTGAGAATAGTTGCTGTTAAGACAAAACCGAAAAATTATTTAGATCACAGAGATGTAGTTAATGAGTGGCTTTTAAACAAACTATGGGTTAAGAATGTCTAAACTAAAGAAACAAAACTTAGTATTTATCATAACTGGTATTTATTATACAAAAACAGAAGTTAGTTATTCAAGAAACACCATAACAAGTCTTAGGTATGACTTATTGCCGCTAATTACACAGGAAAAGGTAATAAGACGTATGAAAGTATAAATAACAAATAATTAAATTTGATTAGGGGGCCATCAGCTAAGACTAAAGCTTGAAGAAAGCCAGTTGGTTACTAAAAAGCGCACTAATAGAAAACCAAAAATGTATAAGTATTAATCCTAACGTATCTTTTGTAAGTGTTGAGAATCTAAGACGGACGCTGCTACAAGACGGATCATATGTTCTTACTTTCGCAAAAAACTTGCTCTTTATAGGGTGTATTTGCATTTTTTTCCTTTCACTACACACCTTTGCAATAACTCTAGCACAAACATACCGCAGCTAAAGAGAAGGATGATATTCCCGATTTACTTCTTGAACGATTTTACAGGCCAATAACTTCTTGGAGCGGCATAATTATGAATACAAGTAGCACTAGCTTCCTGTCCACCTTGATCAGAAATGGAATATTTCAATGGTTCTTTTAAATTCTGACGCATTTAAAATAATATATAAATAATAAAGACTGACGCATTTAAATTCTGACCAAAAACCGTTGCTACAAATTTCTTTGCAATTCCATTGTTAGCAATTCGAGTTTTGAGAGTTGTTTTTCTACCAGTTTGAACGATCATGTTTAGAGCTCACTAAGCGAGTGTAGTACCACTCCAGATCCGTGTTTTCTTATGTGAAGGAACATACATTGTTATTGATTATCCATGGACTTAACCCTTTCTACTTATATTTGTTTTTGTTGGGCAAAAAACCCGATAAAGACACACACAAACAGACTACTGTGTTTGTAAATTTTATAGCAATATCTAAGCAATGAGGATGCAAATAACAAGAAAGTAAAACAGTGTATAGACGGGTCAAAGTGTTAGGTTGAATGTCTGAAACGAAACGTCGATCCGCAAAATTGTACAAATATTTGGTATCTACATCCACAAAAAATTCATAAAACTTAACAAATTAGTTATTTTATTATCATAATTTAATCGGAGATGATACAGTAATGCGCCTTGTAAATAAATGGTGAGGTTTAAACTGATGGTTTGTTGCAAGTACGCCATAGTTTTTCCGAAAACTGCAGCTAATATTTTATAGAAACTGTGAGTATTTTGGTAACGGAAATTTTGTACGTATAGAATTCATAGAAAAAATATGTTGATTTCAAAAATAAATATTAAAGTACCCATCACTTACCCAAGCTGGCAAGTCGTTTAATCTCGCCAAAACCACGTCCTTTTCACTGGACAAAGCAGCTGTTTTAGCCGCATTTCGTCGACGATCGCTGGACTTTTTCCATTGGTCTCTGATGACTGAGAGTACCAAAGGACCAATAAACCATGCAACAGACCATTGCATATAACCTGCTAAGTATACAATGCCGATAACTGAAGCCTGAAAGAAAAAAAGGTTGCTCAGGAAAAACCTTCAACAGTTCTAACATTTAGAAATTTTCGTTTAACAAATCTACTTCTTCACAATGTATGAAGATATAATTTCTTAAAAAAATTGAGAATATTCTATTTCGACAATTGCAACGCTATCTTCTATAATAAAATGCTTTTGTACCCAGATCAACGAACATCAAAGTGATATTAAGCTCAGAGGATGAGGGTTTAAGGTCTGAAAACTTCTTACTTCTGAGGTTGCCCCTGCTGAAATTGTTGGTTTTCTATGTATCAAATTTGCAGAAGAGATAATGCTCCTTAAATAAATTCGGAAAATAACTTACAACAAGCTTTCGTTTTTAAAACTGCGCTATTTTATAATATATAAAACCATTGAATAGAGGAAATTGCTAATATAGAGCCACTTTAATCTGATTTTAGTCAAAGTATACAACCGTTTTTTAACAGATACATATTCATTTCAACTCATAGAGAGCAACATAGATTTGTCTCAACGTGCACTATAGGGTGATTCAAAATATATACAACTCTCTTAACTCAATTGGAATATAGTTGAAGAGTACGGAGGAAAAATGTTTTCAAAAATAATTAATTATTCGTCGAAGAAATTCGTTGTTGAAGATGCAATTTCAACTTTGTTATTAAGCCTTACTGTAAAGAAGTTTAACGGTCGTATGGCCTATAGATAAAACATATATTAAAGTATTACGGATAAAATAAATGACTAACAAACTGTAACTTAAACTACTATGTGTGCTAGTACTATCGTCCCACCAGGACGCAAATTTCCGATCTCTAAGCAGTCACAAACCGGCAACTTGATGACATTTATTAATCTTTTTTGTATCTTATTTGGGAGAAAGCTTAGTAATTGAAAAAAATTAAGTGCCACCAACTGCAATAACAGGGCAAAAAGTAAATACAAAAGATCAACACTATATCAGACTGGTCGCACCCGAGAAAGTAACTGAAAAGATTCTACTTGAACATAATAATATTGACAAGCTGGTCATAAAATCTTATAGGGTTTGTTGCGGTACACCAAATTCCCTTTTCCAAATCCTGATGGTCAAACATGTTTTTGGTTCGTTTCCTAATTCGCATATTAACAGATAAAACACATGAAAACAAATTAAAAAACGGAACCATGCTTCTTAACATTGAAACATATGAGTCTACTACTTTGTCTACACTTGATTTTTTCACATGAGGAAGATTAAAACTGTTTTAATCTAGAAACTGCCATCCGGAGATGGCAGCAAAGCTACCGAAACGCGCGTCTGCAGCAAAATCAAGTGTCGACAAAGTAGTAAAACTCTATTATTTCAACTATTGATTCTGATTAGATAGTCGGTCAAAAGCTATAGATGCAGAGAATGACTAGTTCCGCGATAGGTTGTAAGTTTCTGGAGTGTTATTTGCGGGCTGAACCCAGCTGACAGGACCTAATAGGCCCCAAACCGATCTGAGATTCGCACACCTTGAAATTTGCAACATTAGACGGCTCTGATCTTGCTGAACGTAAATTTTTGTCCAATAACCACGACGTTTAAATCATAAATTGAGCAGAAAAATGTAATCTTCAAGCTAAGGATTTCAGACTTAACAGAATAAAAGTTGAACAACCGAATGCTGTTTTGGTGAGAAAAAATATCTCATTCTACCAAACATTATTCGACTTTGCAAAAAAAATCAGCTTAGTTCAGGAACCCAATAAGGCTCTGGTAGTTTTTGTACCAAGACACTCAAGAATTCGCCACTTGCCCAATGCGTATCAACTCTGTTGCTGCATCAAAATATGAGTCTTACATCAAAACAATCTCACTAAAACTTATATTTTACTATTATTATAATATTTTTTAAAAAATTGGGGGCGGAGCTTTGACCATCAATAACGGAGAAGCCGGACATTTTTCCTTAGTAACAATTAGGTCAAATCGTGTTCTTTTGAGCCCTACAATGTCGCAGTGCCCTTTTGATCATGTGCTTACGATACACCCTGTACACTGTAATTCCTAAAGGAGTTTACTAGTTCTATTGTTCTATTAATTATAAAACATGTTAATATAAGTTTTAGTAATTTCATTTAAATTTTAATTTACTAAGATCAAGATGTGTAACCCTATTTGAATGTATTTAAGCCAGTACTATTGCTTAGCCAACTTTTTCTTGATACTATCGGTTATACAAATCAGTTCTTTTCAACTTCCTTGATAAGCTTGAGCTTTCTTTTTTCCTAATAGGAAAGAGCAAAATGTGGTTCAACTCGACATTTAAAGCGATAAATTTCTCTTGAAACTATTTGTGGGAAAACCGGATTTTCAGCATTAGCTTTAATAAATAGCAAATATCAATATGGAACAAGAGATGAGAGTGCAGTATCAAGCCAAAACTCTCCTTTTACAAACCTATGTGGGGATCATAAACTTCACGCGCCACCTTTATTGCTTTTAATGGTTTTTATTAATAGTAATATATTTTTATATGTCTGTGAGTCATATGAGCCTCAGATTGTCATTCTTTCCTTCAAAAAGGTTCTTTCAGGTCTTACCTCAACGTGCGTTTTTATTATATTTTTATTTGCTTAAAAACAGTTTTCAAATACATATGTTTATAGTTGCAATGAAATGCCTTTCCCAAGAAATTTCTAAGAGGAAATTGTTATTTGACCATAAAATGGATAAACACGCTGCATAAATGAGCAGTTTATCGCATAATTGTAATTATCAACTACTAGTGCCATAAATAATCACAAATATGCAAATATTTGCCATTCGCTAATATTTGTAAAAGATGCTAGGGATTAATATCGTTTTACCTGTTGAATAAGGAAATTTTCTCCGAACTATGAACAGTTTAAAATGTCTGATATTTTGAGTAAAACTCAACTGGCAACTTGTTATAAAAGTTTGGCCGATTGGAATAAACTGAATAATTACAATACCAGTTAATTTGAGCGATCATGAGTTCATGTTAATTCAATTTGCTTTATATAAATTCTTAAGGAATGATTTCTCGGGTGAATAGGAAAATTAATCATAACAGAAATGGGTTTTTGAAGCGAATAATGAGACAACCCTCCTCAGCTGAAGTGGCGCGAGCATTCAAGAGCTTGTATCTTCGAATAAAGTGTGGTACTTTTCTAATACTCATTACTAATACTGGTGGTTGTTATATTGTTATAAGCATAGTTAGCACGAACTCAAATATTCAAAGATTTGGTTCTGAATATGAGCGCGTACGTTGAAGTGTCAAGGTTAACATACATACAGAACTTTCTATATTCCTTCCTTCCTGCCTTCCAAATAAAATAAAATTATTATTTTGTCTACTCGTAGTACTTATTTGGTAACCCCTTGGTAAACTCATGGAGAACAATGGCGCTAATTACAGTTTTTACAGATATGAGAAACCAGTTTCTTCTACCCAGTTAGAGGAAATTGCAAAGCTCCTGTTTAACTCACACTGTGTTAATGACTGTAATAATTGTAAAAAGCAAAATATAGAAAACCAATCACCAATTTAGCTCCTGATAATGAAAATGTACCTTCCACAAGCAAAAAAACATCCCTAAAATTGATATACGTATATTTGAGAACGACTTCATCTTCATGAGAACATTTGTCTGATCCCAAACCTTTCATTTCAAAGCCTCATGAACAGGGACAGACAAACGATATTTTTTTGTATATATATTAATAGCATTTTTTCAAATTTAAGTTCTTCCTGTGGCATTTGAAATCAAGCGGTCTCTGCTTTTCTTGTTCGATCAATAGAAGCCTGGGCGCCACAAACTCAGTTACAAAATCCATTTTTGCATCGTCCCTCGAAGTTGTAATTTTTCGAGTATACCGGCGAACGTTTTATTATGAAATGGTCCCATGTTTGATTGGCATCGTATTGGAAAACTTCATCATTCGAAAAGAAAAAATATTTTATTTCCTATAAATTGCGAACCTTTCTAATATTAAAATAGTACTCTTCTACAACTTTTTGATGAAAATTCAAAGCGACAATGATGTTTTTGTCATTATCAGACCGCAGGCTTGTGTCAAGAATAGCAAGCATTTATCAAATTGTGACTTAGTTTGAAGCTTCTTTCACAAAATGTAGATTAATATCAAATATGCGGATATGCTTTTATGTTAGTTGAAGTATGAATGTATGCCACAGTGACATAGCAGAAGCTATAAGAACTTACGCCAACAAAGATACTGGGCGATTAGTTCCAAGAATTGAGACAGATAGATGACCATCAAGTGGTTTTAGACATAGAGGATCAGGTATAAGAGATAATCGCAGTAAAGCCTTCCATGAGTACTCTGAGCATTGGATAATTACCGAGGAAGAGCTACATCGCTGCTCCCATGTATGTAAAATAGTAACGTATGTAGATAGTAATAGTGTCGTAGGCACTTTGGTGTTGACACCGCGCTGGGTCTCAGGGTGTTGCAGCACCTCACGTCTCATGGCACAGCACCATGACATTTAACACTTAATCACAACATATCAAACTTTAGATTGCAAGTTCGCAAACACCGCGCAGTGTCACTATATGATTCGCGACACTGTCGGCAAGGATTAGATTATGTGTTAGGTATGTAATTATAACGCCACGCGAGAAGAAAATATCTTGTATCTTTATTTATTCCATTCATTAAAAAGATTCGTGTGTCAACATACCGAAATCAAAGAAAACGAAATTTACCGCTTCTTGAATTTGTTATTCATTGCTTTTTTTAATTAAGTTTAGATGGATAACTTGTCGATGGTTCGGTTTGAGCTAAAAGGAGGTACACATAAAAGTAGACGACTCCTAAATGTAGGATGTATGTCACAAAGTTGTTTTAATTTGACAGTTTAATTAAGTTCTTTATAAATCGTGCTCTTCGGGTTTCCAAATCTCTCAGCTACTGTTTTTGTGACCATCGTTCCTGGATTAACGTAATTATTCGAGTTTTTTCAAATACTTTTGAATGTCAAAATCAAAATAATTTTGATAATAGAAAAAATTATTTGTCAGTATTATGTCATTTACGCAAATTAACCTAGATCGAGGTAGAAAGTCAGGTTTAAGCCCATGTACGATCTGTCAAAAGTACGACGACGGACGAATTGACAGATCTCCAACCAATAGAAACACTTTCGTATCATCATATCATCGTACAAACGGATGCATGGGACACGGGCTTTAGACAACATCTACTTCTATGTGACGTCGACTGTACAATATTACTTCCGACTTACAGGAAGTATACATTATCCCTTCGAAAACTTGTAGTTTGACAGCCCAGATTTCGTTTACTATCTGTCATGTTAAGGCAATAGGACTTACCTTTTTTAACGTGCTCGTTATAATACTGACAATACTAAAATCACTTGAAGTTCTCTTGAAAATATCAGGGGATTCCTTACTGACACTCATGTTTGCAGGCAACGTCCAAATTGTAGGATTTTGAATTAGGCTTATCTTTAAGTAGGCGGCAGATTGTTATCACTCACTCAAGCACATTCATATGTGTACCCTGAACTTTGCGAAATGCAATAAAACTTGATTACCGTCTATAAACACACAAGAATGCCTGTGTAGGTTTAAAGAAATGTCTATATTGCCTATCAGCAATAATAAGGTAATGATGATAGTTCTAAATTTGGAATCCAGCGCATACTCAGCCACATTCAATTAATCAAATCGTTATTTGCTTGAACTTGAAATAAAAATAAACTATTATTGTAAATATCACTAATGTGTGAAATATAATCCAGGGTTTTAAGGAACACCGTCTAGTAAATTCGATTTACAAATATGTCGGTTTTATCGAAGAATATAAACTGAACTGGGAATCCCAGTCTAGGATGAATGGTAAATATTTTCCAAGTATCCGTAGTGTTGGAGAACAGCGACCGGAAGTCACAAATAAACAGAGAACTTTTCTTTTAGTTCCGGTTAGGTACAACGGCTTCCACACTAAGAATTATGACAGATCAATTCTGAGCAACTAAAACGCGCACTGCTGGTTGCCTGCACCCTTAAGGAGAACAGCTGATATCGAATCCGCTGTCAGTATCAGCTGCTTCCATTGTTGCCAAAATTCAATGTTGACAACGAAACATTAGACCAACATTAAAATATTCAGATTCGCCTTAATTGGTTCGCCTCTTGATCAATTTTAAATAAATTCTGGTTGAAAACTCTTCTAATGGGCACTAGCATAGATAATACAAGCAAGCCAGCAAGACAAGTTGAAAATGTTCCACACAATTGAGTAGTTGTTAGTACACTCCTCATATTTCACGTACGACTCCTCATATTTCAAACAATTGACCGACGGCCCAAAACATATAACGTATCTTGCACAAAACTTGAAAGAAATCATAATATTTTCAATGTAGTTATTTAGCTAATTACAACACTATTAAAATCACATAAGATAATTGTATTATTGCTTATCTGCTTCTCTGGTAAATAAAGGTTCTATTTAACTTCAGTACAGTGTCTGGTTCCTAAGAATGAGTTTGCACAAACATTTTGTGCTATTACGGAGATCTACTGCAAACACAATATTTAGTCGAGTAAGTGCTAATGGGAACAAATTTTACATATTGATAATTATTTATTTTGAATATTTGAGGTTTGCTAGAAGTGTACAGGAAACTACTTCTTTCTTTAATTCTAAATAGATCATTGATCTATAACCTTGGTATACACGTGTATTAAAAATGAGAGTGAGTTTGTTTAAAGTTGTCTAATCCAAAAGTGTTTAGTTTTCGAAATATTGCCAATATAATGTTTTCATATGGCTTTTTTGCCGCATCTTATATCAAATTCTGTCACTCTTAGTTGCCATTACAAATGTGGCCATTTTTAATGCAATCAAATGCCAAAAGAATACCGGCTGTCAGTTCCCTTTGGAAAATAATTAATAAACATGACGCTTAAATTATATAAACAAAGATTATTTAAACTTATTTATTATTTATGGAGAATGTGATAAAGTTATATCAAGATAGCAAAATCATTTTCAAAGAGTCTATTTTGGGTCAGAGAATATTCTGAAGTTTGAGTATTTTGAAGTTTGAGTATTTTGAATATTCAAAATACTCAAACACCCCACTTGAATCCATTCAGCATGCGAAAACTACCACCATCGGGTCAAAACGAGGAGCTCCGTTATTCCATTCATGGTAACATTTACGCTACTTTACTACACATTCATTCAAAACCGGTTTTCATGCGCATCGAACCCGTTTAGCATACTTCGATGGTCGCGTCGGTTCCAATTCCTCGGGCAACCCCGCTTCCTATTGGCCGTAGTCGGATTCCATGCATTCCGACGAAGGTCTAGCATTGGGGCGTTTCCCATTCTTCGGGTCTGCCTGTCTGCCACCGGACGAACGAAAATTCCGCGAATTCTTCGGGATATGTTTCACGTTTTCGATGTGTTTCGGTCAGAGAGCCAGATTTGAGGTGTCATATAGTAAATGGCAATTCCAAATTTATTTAATAAATTTGCCCATTTTTGTTGAAATTCACGCATTCAGAAAGTCAATTTGAGGAATTTTGGGAGACTCTGAAAGATTCAAATATTAATCAACTTTTGTAATGCAACTGCAAGTGACTGCATTTAATATACTGCAATATACTGCAATTTACAATATTTCGAAAACTAAAGACTTTTGGAATAGACAACTTTACACACACTTGACCTTATTTTTAATACTGATTGAGACAAAATTGTCAAAAATGGGGGGTTTCCATTTGCAAAAATTGATTTAGGGCGGTTTTCTCAATCTTATTTTGAAACCTATTTAACACTGTGAATTGAACTGAATTAACTGCTCTTTATCTTAATGATATTAGCTGGAATAACTAAAGGAACTTATTCAATTTGAGGTCAATTGATGTAATATATCAGAATTTTCTTACACGTGCTAGATGTAGATGTTTATATGGTAATATATTTTTCGTGATATATATTTCTTAGAAATATATTTTTTTCTTCTTTCTCGTTCTTCTCTTTAAAAGTATAAATTTTAATTTTTAATTTTCTGAGACCAATAATGTAGTAAATGTTGAGCTACGTGTTTTAATTATCAGTTTTTTGAAGCACAAGCTGAAGTATCTTGTTTGAATTCTTAGTTCTCTGATAATAAATGCTCTCAGTTTGTTTATTTTTAAAATGAGACAATAATTTAAAATAGAAAATTTCATAAAAAAACACAATTGGTTAATTTGAATACAAGTTATAATACTTTGAAGTTTACTTCTTTCTTTCTACTAAAATTTAGTGCGCTACAATTTTTGGAGCTGAAGATGTGGTCTTGGAAATACGTATTGTGTAAATGCATTATTTTGTAACGTACAGAAAATTAGGATTAATTTCTTTCAGGACCAAATTCTTCAATGAAATTCTTCTAATAAAGGAAAGGCGAAATTAGAATATTAATACTTTAAAGATTTAATAAAAAATCTTCATTCTACCATCGCTTTTCGCAGTTCTAACGACTTCCAGAAACACACTAAAAACCAATAACTATTGAGTCGACCTTTAAATTTGTAGAGGAAATCGTCCATCCGAATTGTGGAAGTTGGCCCACGCGATGGCCTTCAGAATGAACCCACAAATATTCCTACTAATATAAAAATTGAGCTTATTGATAAACTATCTGAGACTGGTTTGAAGACCATTGAAACAACAAGGTAAGAATATGTTCTGTTATTGGAACGGGGAACGCAGAAATAATTTCGTATTCACAAGCTGCTTTTCATTATAACTGATCAAGCAAAAAATAAAATTGTACATTATATATAAGTTTGTTAAATACTGAATATATGAGATTGTTTCAGTCTTCAACTATTGAAATAATGTATCCGTTTGCTCTTTGATTGTTGTAGCTTTGTGAGTCCAAAATGGGTCCCGCAAATGGCTGATAACAGAAACGTTTTCACGAATATAACAAAAAGAAAGGGTGTTTCATATCCGGTATTGGTGCCCAATTTAAAAGGCCTAGAAGCAGCTGTACGTATTTTAACCTGTAAAATTAATTTGACCAGTTGATCAATCCTTTTGTAATTTTTAGATGGAAGTTGGTGTAACTGAAGTCGCAGTCTTCCTGTCAGCGTCCGAAGGATTTTCAAAAAAAAACATTAATTGTACTGTGGATGAAAGTATAGCAAAAACGAAAAGTGTCATAAGCAAAGCATTAGAAAACAATTTAAAAGTGAGGGGGTACATATCGTGTGTGGTGGGATGTCCTTATGATGGGTCTGTAAGACCAACCGCTGTGTCCAAAGTGGCGGACGCACTGCTGGAATTTGGCTGTTATGAAATTTCGCTTGGAGATACCATAGGTGTTGGTACAAAAAATACCATTGACGCAATGCTACGACATGTTTTACGTCTAGTTTCTTCTGACAAACTAGCCATTCATTGCCATGACACATATGGACAAGCTTTAACAAATATTTGTACTGCTCTTGACCTAGGATTGACTGTTGTGGATTCTTCAGTAGCGGGTCTGGGAGGATGTCCTTATGCTAAAGGAGCCACAGGAAATGTAGCCACAGAAGACTTGGTTTATATGCTGCACGGAATGGGCGCTGAAACGGGAGTAGATTTGAAAACACTGATTCAAGCAGGCAAATTCATTTCCGATTTTCTTCAGAGACCTCCAGCTTCTAAAGTGAATAATGCCATGTACTCAAGGTTATAAAATATCGCAATTAGTCATCATTAGACTATGTTCAATACTAAATTTTATAAAATGTTCAACGATTAATGCTAAGATTTATTTACACAGATATTTAAATAAATTTCACACGACTCATTGCCTAGAAGTTTAATTGATTTATCTGCCCTTTTCAGACAAAAAACAGTCAACAACAACAAAAGGATTCAACTGGCTACAATTAAAATGTAATAGAACAAATCATAGGATACGCTTGTGCAATATATTATTCTAAAATAGCAATGAGCAAAGACCAAGACTTTCATATATTCGTCTTGTTCTTGCTAACTGAAAAAACATTCTTAGTATTGCTCTTGGTCTTGTCCAAGTCCATGACAAAAATATTAATAAATTTAAAAGATAATGATAACCAATAGGCAACAATAAAATAATATCTGGCTGTTTGCTGTTTGATTGTCGTATGATTCTCTGTTAATGGTAGAATCAGAAGTTTTCCAAAATACAAATATAAAAATAAAAAATTTTGACGCATACATTTTCATTGTTTAATACGTTCCAGCAGAGAGTGCCTACCCATCTCGAATATATTTTCATATAGTATGATTTACATGATCTAACAAAGTAGAACAAACTTAATTTAAAGTGTAGATTTTTTAGATTTTGACTGGGTTTAGAAAATTTTAACCGTCGAAAATGATAAAATTATTAAAAATGAGCTAATAATTTTTCGCCGGAAATGAGTGATCTTACTGACTTATTTCGGAACTCTCGCAAGGAATGTTGGTGAAACAATAAATGAAGTGTATTTTTTAAACTGTTCAGCGATGTTTATTTACTTCTTGAGATTTCACTGCTTCATACAATATGCATAGAAAACGTATATGTCTTCACTTAAAGTATTTTAAGGTAAAAGTTAATAATTATTAGAACAAATATCAAATACCCCGCGATTGAGTTAATATAGAAGAGAAGGGAAAACAAAGTTCATCTAAGTTGTGCTAACCCCCTTTTATTTAAGTTCAACTTGTTCAAAGCTTTGGTTCCTAATTTTAGATTTTCTCACTTGAAGTCATCGGTGGGATGCCTAGCGCTTTAAACGGTTCGTATCATATTCAAGGGCTACGTGAATAAATTTAATGCGATTCAATGTCGAATTACTTACTGAAAGACTCTTGTCCTTCCACACATAGTTTTGGTTAGATGATTCAATGGCTTCCTGATTCGTATACATAAAAAACTTGTTCCTTATTGTGAAATAAGAACACTCTTTATCAATCTGCAATAGAAAAAGTGTGGAAATTCTGCCATGTTTTAAAGAACAGACAATGTTGTTGCGAAATAGCAAACAAAAAGGGTTTGAGAACAAAAATCCTCCTCAATCATATAGAAATTATTATCCATCCCTTTGTTCTGCAACACGCCCCGTTCTTCATTTGAGCTTCGAAATGCGTTCAATTACTTCATCCGTCCGAGACCTTTAACTTATCTCATCATTCATTACTCTGTCGCTCAACGTTAGGTCAAGCCCTTAATGTTTTGCACTTCTTTTGTCGCTATTTTGCAAAAACTAGGGATTTTTCCTTTTATGTGGAGTAAGATATTCTAAAATGTATCGTAATTTACCGTTGGCAGCTTAGCTGGGAACGTTGATACAAACAATTAAACATAGAAATACAATGACAAACAACAAAGCTAAAGAAATGTATAAGCACTGAGAGCTAGACAGACAACAAGTAAAACATAATAAAATAACGGTTCTCAACGAAAACTGTCTAAAATCCCACTAAAAATTCTCGCTAAAATAACTGTATTCGGAAAAGACATTTTGACGATTCGGATTAGGCACTCTAATATCGAATTTATTTATTTATTTATGGAGATATGAAAGAGAGTGATCAGCAACGTTGCGTGTTGTAATCCCTGATCTTCAAAGTACACCTTGAATACATCATTAGAAAATATTCGTATAGCCGTTCAGAGGGCACAAAATATACAAAATTTAATGAACCATACATACAATATTAATCGAGAAACTCAAAAGAACCAAACTCAGGAATATTCTCCATAGTAAAGTTCATGTTCGAGTTCATTTGATGTCTCAGCTAAGTACAAGTTAGCTTTTCCGATTAAAGAACCAGGATTTGACTTTGTTAATAGCGGGCCGACAGTCATTCGTTGCTGAAATAATTTATTGTAGCATGTGATGAGCTTTATTTATGCCATTTGTTATAAGCTCTGTGTCGTCCTTAAGACGAGTAGTATTCGGCGATGCTTAATTTTTGACTCTCTAAGCTTTAGAAGCAGATTCTAATAGTGTTGAGATCAGTTTTCGCGACTAGTCTTAATGTTGCCTTGCTTTACTCGATTGATATTAATTTTATTTTTTTAAATTGTTAGTAAGTATGCAGGTATGTAAATTATATAGGTAATTTAGCAAGCTCCCCTTTTGCGAAGGATCATTGTGGCTTGTGGCGTTATCTCATTTTTGTGAATGTCTTGCTAATGATCATACAGGTTGAATGTCGTCCCCAAATCTCCTCCGGGGGCTTCGTCATTTCCTATATCTTCAAGGGTATTTTTTATTTGACTTGTCGATGTATCCAAGATGATATTTTCTGAATATTTGTTTAACTGCCATTTTTCTTGCTGCTTTATATCATTGTTTTCGGTCATTTGGCGTTGTTATCCCTTGTATGTACCTCTTCTTAGAACTGTTCATCTAAATGCAGTATTTCAGCTGTGCTGTGTCTTCTGCAATTTTGTTTTCGTTTTCTTGTACAGTTTGTGTCACTTGTTCATTTTTAAACCGTTATAGGAATAGAAAAAATTGCTTAATTTTGGATACGCAAGTTAATGAGAACATCGACCATAAATTGTCGTTTGGATCAATTGTAAAATTTCAGTTCAGATGGATCTGATCTCAGTAAAATAATCACTGGGCATGTTCGAAGAATGTTTCCAAATACATATAATGTTTTCGTAAACTTTGTGCCTCGTTTGTTAAGTTGGGTAATCGAGAAGCAAATAAATCCCAACCAATCAAAGTCTCAAACATTCACTAGAATTATGGAATAAATTCAGACAAATCAGTAATGGAACAAAAACCCGAAACTACAATAAAATAGACCAGTTAGCTTTCTAAAAACAACTTTAAGACACAGTTATTATTCACAAATTAAAGTGTGCATAACATTACGTCACACTAAATATTTATAACAGTTTACTTCATTTTCTATACAGCATGCCTCAGAAATAAAGGACCGTAAACTCACGGGTAAATAAACCTTACCGAACAATGAGAAAAATTCAAATTTGCATGGGTCCTCAAAAGCTTCCTTTGCGAAATAGAAGGCGTCAAACTTTACTTCAGTTTAAAGCAAAATTACAAATTTGTACCCTCACTAAGTTAGTATTTAAGGGGCTGACGAAGCTAGGGTATATTTAGGATGTTTAGAAGAGCAAATACTATAAACAGTACAGACCATTTATTTAGAACTATCTTTACAAAATAATGGGGCAATTTTTTAATTCTGAATATGCCGATATGCATTTGGTGCTCCAAGAGTTCTGAGACACTGCGGGAAATAATTATCCAAATAGAAGAACTTAAATTACCGTTCACCGTCGTTTGTGTGCACCTGTCTAGGAGCAGGCTGCAAAATTTGCGCTGCTAAAGAGGACTCAGAAGTGTACTGATGTCAATGGCAATCATTTTCAGCAACCATTATAAATACGTTTTATGAAATAAAATCAAAATATGTTTTAATGCCACAGAAAAAATTACATTAATTTTATGTCTGTTATAAATGTAGGTAATTCTGAAAATAAACTGTTTAGTTTTTTGTTTTACCATTGGTTCATAATGTTTTCTTCATTGGTTCCTCATGAGAAATTATCATTATAAAATGTTTTTTTACCGTAAAACGGTCGATCGTCGCTATATAGTTTTGGTCTACTAAATGGCCTGATTAGATCAATTTTAACAAAAACTGGACATGCATGGTTTTCCCCCTTGGGTTTTCAAATGTGAGCTTACAAAAGTATGTATGATCTTATTATTGAATGTTCTATGCGTGGTTTCTAAGGGTAACCAGAGAAATTCGATAAAACTGAAAGGTTTTCTGACAAACGCGTCAAGTAAATTTACTTTTTTGTTCGTGAGTAGTGGTATATTTTATTTCATTAAAAATGTCTCTTCGCTGCCCCGATCTCCCATTTTTACCGGGATACTCCGTTAATCCAAATGTAAGTAAGTGTGTAGCTTTTAAGAAAATAGAACAACTTCTTGTGGAACACTCATTGTGTTTAGTTACGAAGAGCTGGTAAATAATGCATTTCCACATAAACTTGCAAGTATGCAAATAATATATTTTATTACATCTTTCATGAGCTCTATGGGTCTCGATGACGTTGTTCAGTGGACCGTTTTTTACGCTTCATTGGGGCGACATGTTTTCGTCTGCAAAACAATTTGGTATCAAAATCGTTTATCAATATAGGAATAACAATAAACAAAATTTCTGTTTCTTTCAAAAATCGCTATCGGCCAAATCGGTCTTTATGCATTTACATGTGGGGTATGATAGGTTTTACGATTTATAAATAAAAATAATATAAAAGTTTTAAATATGCCAATATAGGCTTAGTTTAATATAGTGTTACACTAACTTTGCTGCGTTTAAGAGTTCTAGTAGGACTGTTGTTGGGAAAAGGAAGCGGGCGTGGGTGGTTGTTTCATTTTATATATAACTGTATCAGTCTTTCTGCTATCTTTGTCGTTTTCTTAGTAAAAGTCTTCTAGTAAAACATTGAGCTAATTCAGTAACTACTGTTTGTTCCTGTTTTGAAATTATTTAAATCTACGCTTAGGTATATTCCTAATAGATTTTGCATTTTGCGCAATGTATTGCATTTTACGCATAATTAAACCTTTAAAATACGATGGTTAAGTCTATTAGGTGTCTGATGAAATATCGTAACTTAACTAACCGACAGATAACTTTCGGTACGCACTGTCGGAACGACTTTTAAGACTGATAAGACATTTTTGACCGTTTCCGATTTATTGTATTTATAATAGGAACTATTGGAATATTTATAATTGGAACATACTGCTGAACAGATGAGAGATTGTTCTGGCGTAATGCTCTCCAAAATATCGTTACTGTTGAGTTGATAATTTAAACCATTTCTGAGATACAGTTTATTTTAAACATCGAGGACATACATAACGCTTCATTTCTTATGAACAAATTCATGAAAACTATGCATTTAAACGAGAATGGTGGGCATATTGTGAGTTCCGCTGAGAAGTTTTCGGAAAGCTCCATATTTTACAACAAGTCGTTTTAACGATACTGAAGGATTGGCAGATGAATAATAGAAAATAACAGTTTCCACATGAACAAAACTTGAACAAAATATTTATTATTGTTGGATCACTGGATCAGTGATATTTTGACTTTCGAGTTCAAACCCTTTTTCTTACTCGGATACGTTGTTACTGTTTGGAAACAGAAACCCCTGATTTATATCCATCTGAAAAATTAAGCATCTTTACTTAAATAAGTGAAGATGCTAAATTTTTTCCGTTCTCTCCAATTGAATTCTTTTAAACGAATGCTGCAAATTTTTAAGCCCTTTGTGTATGTTCTGAAAGTGGTTCAATCATTTCCTCATCTTCAAATTTATCATTTTAGGTGGGAAAAACCGAATTCCACTTAAATCCAATATTTGGATTTATTGGAGAAGGTAACAGAGCTCTTATAGAGAAGGTGAAGCCCAATATGTTTGGACCATTGTCAGATAAATTTCCATCCATATATCCAAGAGGACAATGCACCGAGCTGCCAGGATGGATTATGTTCGACAAACAGGTTATATTGTTGCAGCACACATTGTGTTATTATTTCAACTTGAGTATTCTTTTATGCAGATTCTATGTTTTGATGCATTTTTTCAAGAAACATTACAGGAAGTTCGAGGCTCTCCTTTCCAAGTGCGTAACGTAAAAATTTATTATTTTCTGGAGGATGGAACCATCCAAGTTATTGAACCCCGAGTTGAGAACAGCGGCGTTTCGCAAGGTGATTTATCAAACAATCTGCTGCTGCAAAACGCGTTAAATACTAATATACTTTTTAGGAACTTTGATATCTCGACAAAGAATCCGCTTTCCATCTCCAATGGACTTTAACTTTTACGATGTGATGGACTTTAATATTGGAAGAGAAGTTGAATTTTATGGTCGGGTGCTTAAAATTACCAACTGCGATAAGTTTACCAGAACTTTTCTGAATCGATGCGGTATATCAGTTCCCGATCCTATAGTAGGACCAGGCGATCCATACATGGAACTGCGTTCCCATGATAAAGACGCTGTTCAACCCAAAAAGCCAAATAGAACTAAAGATAGTTTGGGCAAGTTTTTGGAAAATGACAGGAAAGTACGTGGTGAATTCACAGTTTATGCCGGCAAATTGAAATGACAAACCTAAAAGAACGTACTTGATAAGAGAATGATAATAATACCTACAACATAACTAGCGAAAATCTGAATATGCGAATTTTCTATGTTTAGAAAATACAAGATGTTCAATTTGTCAATTAACAAAGGATCAAAAC